TATTTACGCAAATTTTTGTTTTTCTGTAAGAAAATATCGTATTTTATCATATAATTCGGCTGCAGTGTACAAAATAGTAATAAATGTAATGTTCATTAGCAGCTGTAATTATCAAATAATAAATTTTATCTTGTTAATATCATCATGTGATCAATATTATTTTGACGTAATACTACAGCAAAAGCAGACAATTTCATAATTCGTTATTTGGATTTCTGCTCATTTTACATTCATAAAAGTGTGATAATCTGAGAATAAACTATATTAGTAATATATATATATAATTTGTTAGTTTAAAATGGCACATTATTTAGTACATTGTTCGTACAAGTTTTTACATTTCTAACAGAACAATTCGTTAGATGAGTCGTTTTTCTTGATGCATCATAGAGTGAAAACGAGATAATTCTATAAGAGATATATTTTGATTTATCAGTCGTAAGGAATCTTCTTGAAGTAATGACAACATTTGTTCTGGTTGACTAATATCCATGCATTTATGTAGATAGACTAAACTTCGACCATCACTATCATTAAGAAGACGAGACATTCGAACAAGATTGTGCTCAAGAAGCCAATCATGTACTTGTGTCGACGTCCATTCTATAATATTCGATGAAGATATTTTTGGCGATGTTATAGTAACTTTTGAAGGCGCAACATGGATATCTTGTTTTGGTTGAACTGGTGTTATATTGATATCAGGAATATGAATAGCTTTTAGTTCTTTTGATAACATTTCCATTGCTCGCACAAATTCATATTTTGTAAAATCAACATATAATAATTGACCAATCAAAAATAATAACCATCCATCTGGTTTATAATGTTTTTGCATAAGAACTGGAACTATTCGACGTTGTCGTTGAAATGCATAATGTGCTTCAGCTCGACAAAAATTACTTTGTCGATATTGTTCACTCATACAAATGATAATAATTTCTGATTGATCAATAGCTTGTGCCATTGCATCCATGACATTTCCATGCATTTGATCAAAATCAATCCAAACACGATAACCACTTTTAGTTAGTTCATCATAAAGTTGTTTACAAAGAACTTTTTCTTTGTGTGAATAACTAATCATAATATCAAAAGTATCCTGATTGATATTTTGTGATATCGGTCTATCTTGATGATTGATTTCAAGATTCCAAAGAATACCATGAGTAATTTTACGCATTTGTTCATTGCCACCTTGTTGAGCAAGATGAGATAGCTTAGACATGAACAGTGAATTCGAGCGAAGTTGTTGTTGAATATCTTGATTGAATGAAAGTGCCCATATAATATCATATACAACTGGATATTGATCAGACATTTCAATGAAAAGTGGTATTTTATTTGAACTGGCGGTTCGTTGTTGTATTGAATCATTCTTTGATAGAGTTTGAAAAGCTAGAAATAATTCAAGAATGATTTATTTTTTGTATTTTTTTCAAATTGACAAGAATTAAACTTAAAAATGAATTCTTCCTCATTTATGTTATAATATATGACAGCGGTATTTCTCATATTGTCAAAAGAGATCCGTGAAAAATCTATGTTTAATTATGCAGTGCTAGAGTGTAAATTCCTTTCGATGTACGGTTCTAAGTGTAGACTCGTTGAATAATGAAAAATAGTTATGTTTTAACGTTTGAATTTATACAATGTGTATACCTTTCAGTAGTAATTCAATGGGTATTTGTTTATATTTGTTCAATGAATTATTCCATGCTTCTTGAAGCAAATGGAAGAAATAATCACTAATATTATCAGCTATTTTCAAATCTTTCAGAAGATCATCTCCAAGAGCTTCACCAAGTATACAATATCCACTCAGGCAAACTTCATCATTTAGTGCGGCCTCAGCTACAGATATAATTGTATCTCGTATTGTTGTATTAGAACGAAAAAGCCAATTTATATTTTGTGTTTGGACTATTATTAATAAAATCATAAATGTTGTATCCATTAAAATTGTTTCATCATTTGAACGTACAGATTTCGTTTGTTTGTAGAATGGTGTATGAGCAATGATGCGAGTAAGATCTTCTACATGATCACATGCTGTTTGTTTTTTAGTAAAGAGTATTTTCATCTGCGGTCGGTGTTGTCCATTCCACCAACAACATCCTCCAATCAATCCAACAAGTTGTGCGATACAACCAAGTAGTTCCTTATTCCAAGACATTACATTATAACTATGAACATGAATTATTTCTAAGTAATCTTCGCACAAATAACTAATCATTTCATCAGCCGTGTAAGGAAAATTAGAAGATTTTAAAGATGTATACAAATACGTATATAAATAAAATGAACATGTTTTTATATAAAATAAGAATTTAGCTGTGAATACAGATTGTATTAAGTGTGGTTGTCGAAGTTCAGTCAAATATAGTTTATATTGCTTGCTCATAAAATATTTAACCGTAATATGTCGACCAATATAATTAATAACTGATGGTATATTATACTGTGGATTATCATTCAGAAAATGAGAATAATTATCTAACCACAAACTGATAATATTTATAAGTGGATTGTTATCGTCATTACTTCGATCAAGCTTTGTAAATATTTCATTCATTTGATCAATACTCACACAGAAAAGAAGAGATCCCTTCGTATCTACTTTAATGTCATTATTATTGAAGATTAAGTCCTTGTTGAATGATGCAACAGTATAAAAGAACTCTTGATAATGTTCTTCATTAATCCATTCACTATGATATTCACTACTGAGTATTTTCCACACCCATCTCTCAACCACTAATAATGAGTCAAATGATTTGTGTACAAATGAATATAAACATTCATCATCTTGTTCTTTCAGAATTAATGAGATTTGTTGAAGAATATCCACTGATAATGGAGAAGTATTCAATTCACAAACAAGTTCTTCAAACTTGTTCTCCATCGTTCGATTCTTTTTTCTCTTCCTCTGTCGTGCGTATTAATATAATATGATATGACCAAAATACTTCTACAATTATATCATTACTTCAATACATAATAACATAATGTTACCTTCGTCTTTATGCATATATATTTTTTTT